ACGATCCTTGCTCACGCTACTACATATTTTTAAGCAAGATTAATTTGGGTGCCTACGAAAACACGACTAAATTTTTGCTCCGTTGCTTGGAGAATTTAAATTGAATCTTTGACTTTGTGATTGTGTATTATTATTATTATTATTATTATTATTATTATTATTATTATTATTATTATTATTATTATTATTATTATTATTATTATTTATTCTCTTTTGTTGTTTTTTTTTTCTATTTTCACTTTTCAGGACTTGTGGCAGCAATGCCAACTTGTGGAAACGAGCAGAAGGAATTTTAGGATATTCGATTTGGTCCAAGGAGACATACGGTGAAGTTAGTATGGAGGAGTTTCTAGATGCACTATCAGCATATATTCATCAATGGACTGCTGACAATATAAGGTCGGTGAAACCTTGCAAAATATGTGCCACCCCAACCTATGACATTGACTCTTGTCCCATATTGGATCAAGATAGAAGGATTGCAAGAGGTGTTAATTCAATTGGTAGTTGCGTGAACTTTGGTACATACCAACCATATGATCCTTTCTCCAGCACATATAATTTTGGTTGGACCAATCAGTTAGATCGTTTTGAGAACCATGATTGGGGGTTTCAATAGGAATCTAGCTTTTTTATGGAAGAACCACTTTCTATGCAACACTCGAATGGAGATTCTAGTATGGCACTTGAAGAAATTGTCGAGCAGTTGGCTTCTAGTACCCTCGAATTTCAACAAGAAACCATGATGAGCATACAAAATTTGGAGAAGCAAATAAATCAATTAGCCATGAGTGTGAATCGTTTGGAGGCTCAATTCTATATCCATCTCAACCGAGATAAAATACCTAAATGTGAGTACCATGTTCTTGCAAAATGATGAAGACCAAGAGACATCTAGAAGAAAATCACGCGAGCAGCATGAAACAATAAATGAACTAGGTCCTGACAACCATCATGGCCATGTCACTGACCATTTTCTATATGAGACTGTTGATACGAGTTTATTTGAAGTAGCAGAGGAAAAAGAATACTCTCATGGCAAACATGGCCATGTTGTTGATGTTTCTGGAGAGGTAGAAAAGTCAGAGGCTATGGCAACATACGAGGTCGATTTCATGCCTGCTGAAGTAAAAGAAGAAGCGATGCCAGAACTTCTACATGGCCACGTCACTGATCATGTTCATTGTGAAGTTGCTGATATGAGTGCAGAATTTGAGGCTAACAAGAACGAAGGAAAAGGATGTCTCTCGTTATCCCGAGTATAAGCTGGTACCTTGTTATCTCTTTGCTTTTTTTTTCCCTATGAGAATGATGGGTACACCAGATACATATATGAAACATTTCGAAGATACGAGGATGTTTTCTGGCTTACAAAGAAATGTGGACTCATGAAATGTTTGGGAGAATCAGGGCCCACGCTCGACCACATCAAATGCATCTTTTATGGAGAACGTGGGAAGTTAAGGTTCAACGGTAGGCCTCCAAAATTGCAGTCTGGTGTCTCTAAGAATAATGCAATTTACGGACTTTTTTGGTTTCTTGGACAAATAGGAGCGCTCATAGCGCCTCTGAAAACTATCCCAAAACCTCCTTGGCGAATATATTTTTCTGAGTTTCTCCACCTAGCATATATATACATACTCTTCATGCTTTTGCAGTCATTATTGTAAGTTATGGTTATTGGCAGTAAATCGATGAACCTTCCGATGATCACAGGATTCAGAAGTATGCGGAATATTTAAGGGAAGTTTATTTTTGGTATAGATAAGACCTGTTTCATTTAAGTCAAAATTGACTAATTATGTGTATTATTATCTTTGCAGGTCGACAAGATTGAAGGGGAGATTCACCTTCCATAATCAAAGATGAGGAAGATCGTGGGATTCACTTTCCTTATGCATGAATGACTTGGTCGCAAAGATTTACCAAATGATGCTGAAGATAAAAGGAAGACGAATACCAGAGTGGAGGAGGACTTTTGTTCGGGATTCTATTTTGAAGTTTTATGTTGTCTTTCCTCGAGTAAAAAAAGTGAGATATTCAGAGCACATTAATTCTGTAAAAGAACGTTCGGAGGTTCGTTCTTATAATTTGAGGAATTCGAACTAGAAAATCCACAAGGGAGTTGTGGTCAGATAAGTAGTTGTGTGAATCATTATTTAAGTAGAGTGTAGAGGGAGTCTATACTGTAAACCCTTGAATAATGTTTGTGTTATTCACATTAATGAAAGAGATCTGAAGGGAGAGTGGGACGCTCTCCTGAAGGTTCAATTCTTAGTGAAAACTGCTTCCGCAACTGGTTGAATCTTCTTTACTGTCGGTTTGTTCTATATACGTGCAACTCTGGATACTTGGTGTACGAGTATCAAATTTCAATTATGACATATTTTAAGGACTTAAGCTTGGGGATGTATGTGTTATTCTTGGTACCGTTTATATAGCATGGTTGCATTCATATTCATGTGGGTTGCATTTAGGATTTACTTTAAATGATTAGTTTGGTTATAGTTGAAGTAGAGCACTCAATGAGTGTTTGATGTCTAATAGTATTGATTCGTATTTGGCTAATGTAATAGTCATTTCCTTATAGTATTTAGAGGAAATTACTCCTCGAACGACCCTACAACCTTTTATTTACATATTAACTTATCAATTATAACATTTAGCAAATATGCCAATTCTTACAAGTTTATTTGCAAACACACGAATCATTTATTAGGCAACATAAATATATTATCATTAATTAATTCTGATTTATTGGGAGTAGTTACCAAACAAATAAAATTAACTCCACTTTTCAAGCCTTAATTCTCTACAAGTGACCCACGTCCTCAACTTCATTATTCGTTTCTCCATTTTTTTTTTTCAGAATTAGTGTGAAATTCCATAAAATCAACAAAAAGTCGATGGAAGAGAGAAGGAATCGTGGCGGCGGGGAGGAGGATTTCATAGAGAAGAAATTTGGCAAGAAGATCGCCGCCCGGAGGGTATCTGGGCCCGATTTGTAGATAAAGAAGCCCCATAGATCGAGTCGGATGTCGATGCGGTGATTTTTTTTTTCTATACCTGCGATTGTTTTTAAAAGAGACAACAATAAATTCCTGCAGTAGTGCGCCGTCCCCTCCTCCTTCCCAGCGAGGAGGCCGAGTTGGAGATAACGAAGGCGAGGCCTGAAGCTCGGGATCGTGGAGATGTAGACAGTATATGTTGTGTATATATGCAATATATTTTTAGTATATGTTTTTGTAGACAGAATCACATATATGTTTAGTTATAAAACATGTTAATACAAGGTCTAGGTTTCCCATGTTCAGCACAATTGTCCATTGTGGTTATAGTTAATATATTTTTGGTATATATATTGCGTTTTCTGTACAAGTCGGACACCAAAATAATTTTCGGCATATGTTGTGGTTATAGTTAGTATATTTTTAGTATATATGTTGCATTTTTCTGTACAAGACGGACACCGAAATATATTTTCGTATATGATATGGTTATAGTTAGTATATTTTTAGTATATATTGCGTTTTTTTTTACATAACATGTAATAAATCGGTTTTTGTACTTGGTTTATAATTTATAACAATTTATATAACATATAAGTATATATATAGAGTTTTTTTTCTTATCAAATATGCAACCACAATATAAATAATTTTATTAATTTTTATTAGTATTAATAGATAATTTATAATAAAAAATACAATTATTATTTATTTTGTATATGCAATATAGATGTCAAATTAAACCTTGTTGAAAGATGATTAATTCAATATATTTTATATGAAAAATTGATAACAAACAAAAAAGTTATTAAATTTTGAAAATTATTGGTTTTTTTGTTACAAACAAAGTTTAAAAAAATAGATGTGAGTGTATACAGCATCCGTTTTTTTTTTTTTTTTTTT